CCCCCCCCCCGGACCAGGTTCCAAACTGAAAACCATAAAATATTTTTGTAAAGGGTTTTATTTAAATAACAATAGTAGCACTCTATAAAATCGTATTTCATTTAAAAAAAAAAAAAAAAAAAAAAAAAAAACACGGTCAATTAAATCCGGTTAAAAAGAATTCAAGCGTTTTTGGCGCATTTTTTGCTTTGGTTCAATGTACATTGAGACAGCTCCTTTGCGCCAATATTAGCCCTTCTTGACAAAAGGTAAAGAATATCCTTTACGCCTGTACGTATTGTTATATTAGCCGTTGACTTGTGTTCAATTGTCAGTTGCTCGAAGGGTTCGGATTCCATTGACGTGGCAACACAGAAGCTAAAATCTCATTGGACGGCTCACTTATTTCTTTGCCAACTTGCTTTTTCTTCATCCTGACCTGCAACATGAAGAAAAACAGACACCCGATGATGTGTTTCAATGCCTTTGTAGTCATAAACCGGAGTGTTGTGATTGTCGAGTACATCGTCATTTGCTTCACGGCCCCAGCGACGAACGCTTCAGCTCTTGACGGGCTGTAAAAGTCAGCTGGGGCCTCCCTAGCCGGTCTTCGCGCCGTCCTCCAAGCAGCTTGTTTTCTGCTCCCGTTTGCCGTAAACGTGTTAGCCAAAGCCCGAGGCGTCGGTGGAACAATATCACCCGACGGAGGCTACGCTACTAAGGCTATCTTCACAATCACTTTGCCAAAGTGAGTGTGAAGACAAGCAACTGGGGGCACGTGATTCTCATGGACGCCAACACCTGGCTTGTGGATGAGATCATGGGATGGATAAATCAGATAAGATACGATAAGATAGATTTAGGTTTATGCAATTCGCTTTGTGTGGACAGTCTTTGTGTGCATGTGCCTGTTCACCTACTCACCACTTGTTGAACCGTAAAACACGAGCAACGAGTGGAGTATTTGAGAGACACTTGGCTTCATTCAGAGATTCCGGTGTGGTTTAATTTCGGTCTCAAGGAGTGTGAAGTGCTGATAGAGATTTGCTTACCTGTCCCATACTTTACTACCAGGCATACGTGACGACAACATTAACAAACAATATTCCCAAGTGTCTCTTTTAATGGAAAAATATATTGAAAAAAAACATTCATTACAATCAGCGTGAGTTATTTGCTGATTTTTGCAATTCGGGCCTGGTCCTGATTCACCACCAATAGCGGGGTCTGCTGTGCATCATTTAAAATACCGTATTTTCTTCATTGTATAAGACGCACCTCATTGAATGGCCGATTTTAAAACCGTTTTCATATGTAGGGCGCACCACATTATAAGGCGCATAGAGTAGAAGCTACAATAGTGGCGTTATGCATCCACTAGATGGAGCTACGTCAAAGCATATATAAGGAGCATATAAGGATCCATGTATAAGGCGCATCGGATTTTGAGGCGCACTGTCGGCTTTTGAGAAAAGTGAATGCTTTTAGGTGCACCTTATATATATGGATCAATATTCTGATTTCTTGGATGTAGTATTTTAAATGTTATGTGAAGCATTTTGTTATGGCTGCAGCGCTTGTGACTGCTCTATATAAATAAAGCTGTATTGTATTGTATTGTATTGTGTTCCCTTTATCGTAGCTCCATCTAGTGGATGCATACGCAACCGCAGCCACTATTGTAGCTTCTATTATGAAAACAGTTTTAAAGCAGGCCATTCATTGAAGGTGCGCCTTACACTCCGAAACGCCTTATAGTGCAGAAAATACGGTAATTTATACCGTCTAATTATGCTACTGTTATATTTGTACAGCTAGTGCAAAATATAATTTTATTGAAGTGATCCATCAGGATATAATGATGAATTATAATCCACGCAATTTGTTCTGTGTATGAAACTGTTCGTGTTCATCATCTCTACATGTATTAGTTCTTTTGCATATTGGAATTGAACTGTGAAATTATAGCATAATGAAATCTAAATGGCATACAGTCACTTTCTAAAGTCATATTTAAACACAGCGTGCACATTGAGAACTATAAATATGGACATGAACACAGTATGCAGTATATATATATATATATAGTACATACATTCTGTATGTTCATTGGTACCCCACTGATAATGTGGGTGGACAGATCAGGATAATGACACTGTTCCTGTCAGTGGCATCCTGTTGCTATCGGCAACACAGCTGCTGCCAACGTGTCCGGTGCGTGCCGCCGATTTGGACGTGTAGGCATGGTTTTGCGGCCCTTACAGTGGCCCCAAGTGTCATGTCCACGCGCTGTGTTTGTCGGCTGACAAATAAAAGAAGATGTCAGAAGCATCCTGCTGTCGTGTAAATGAGCTTTTTCAAGACTTGCCAAGGAAAAGGAGGCGGAGATGCTTAGTCGGGAGGCTTTGCAAAGCCACTTTGTTCCAGCTTCAATGTTCGATTTTCATTTGTCAGATCTATGCTTCCGACTTGTAGGAACAATTTGGGGAAGGCCTTTTTCTGTTCCGGCAAGTAAAGTCCATACAAGTGAATGTCCAATTCTTACAGAATGTTCCAGATTTCACTCGTAGGTGTCAATCTCGACTGCCCCAGAGACCAATACAAAATGTCCACTTGATGCTCCGTTGAGTTTATGGGTTCAGTCATGAGTACACCAGAGGCCAATGAAACATTTAATGAGCCAGGATGTGAGCCATGTATGTGTTTTTTTTGCCCTCTCTTCCAGCAGGTGCAAATTTTCACATCACATCTTAAAATAGAGCACAGCCCCGTTTTCCATCTGCGGCTAGACATAGAAACTTGTGCTCCATTTCTGATATGACACTAATTAATTTGGATGTCCCCCATTAAGCCGCAGACCTATTTAATAGCCCCTGAAAGATTTTAACGGTGACACGGTTGCTAAGCATCTCACCCTGCCTTGGACTGATGCACTTTGTGTTTGCTAAAAGTGCAAACAAATGTGAGGTTCATCATCTCTTAGGGGACATAAAAAGTAATGAGTTCATACAAAAGCACAACAAATTAAAGTTGGTTCCAATTGGGACTGACTCGGTTTATATTTATGTCAAACACGTAACATGGGTCACATTCAAATTCGGTTTGCTTTGACGTTACATCTTCTGGCCCTGTGACAACTTTTGGTGCCATTTTTGCCCATTGTAAACAAAATACTTTTGTATTGATGTCATCAGTGTGTAGATTGTAACTGAAAATAAGTAAAACCATGAGGACCCTGCAAAACATTTCAAAACGTAAAAAAAAAAAAAAAGAAGGATTAAAAACAATGTGACCTATAACCGCTCCAAACGAATTTTCCATCCATCCGTCCATTTTTTAATCCGCTTATCCTCACACTTGTCGCGGCCGTGCTGAAGCCCATCCCAGCCGTCTTCGGGCAGTAGGCGGGGTATACCCTGAACTGGTTGCCAAACCAATGAAATTGCAATTCGCTGACTGAACGGAAGCATGTGTCCAGGATTGACCGCCTGGAGAACCCCACAGGTCAGATTCATTTGGTCTTAGACACAGTTGCCGATTTCAACAAAGTACACCCTGTCCTTGAGACAGAAAATGAACCAGTACAATAAATACACAGAGAGTGTAAATTTTACTTCCACCCCAAGGATTGTAAACTTTAGCAACTAAAGTTTAGTTAATAACATAAAATAAATCCAGTTGGGAGAAAAAGAATGAACCCTTTCATGCACCCTGTAAGCGAGTGTCGTAACCGCGGTCCCTGAAAGGGTTAAAAAAAAGCTGTTTCCATAACTACGTAGGCAAATGCCTTTGACAAAAAAAAAGGCAAACAAGGTTCATGGAAAAAAAAAATCAAGATACTAAATTCACAAATCCCCCACCCCTAAAAAAAAATAAAATAAAAAAATCAAAATTCAAAGTTACCCAAAGAAAACCCAGAATGAAACAAAACATCATCACAAAAGTAAACATGAAATGACTGAGCTCCGGCAGTCCTAATTTTGTTGCGGTGTTAGCGAAAACTGCCTGCTCTGTCCACAATGGTTCGACAGAATACTAAAACTGCACGCAGACAAATGCTAACATGACCTTCTTGGTCGAAGTAGCAATTGAAATGCTCTATGCAAATTAGAAGCGAAGGCAGCTTTAATCAAGTGTTGGTGATATTTACAGCTACACGGGAGCCGGTAACGTTAGTCCAGCACCTCCATTAACCTCACCTACCCCCATGGCTTCCTCTGAGACAACGTGCTTTTTCTTTTTTCTTTTTTTTTTTTTAACACTCTCACTTGATTATTTGGTCAGCAGAGAAGGCCTCATGTTTGCTTAACTGACCAACATTTTGATAGAGATTTTTTTCTTGTATCGGTTCTCATTAGATGTGTATCTAATCACATGTCCGTTGGTTGTCGCTAGTGTAAAATGTCTTTAACTCTATTCATTAATGAGACAAACAGGTTTAGGTTATTTTATGTTAAGTCATATCTTCTCAGTGAACGCTAAAAGTCTTTTCTGTTATTATTATTATTTTTTTTGGTCTTTATCATGACAGGCATCAATCAAGGCAGCTGTTTCAGAATCAACCATTTCCCCGACGACAACGACTACGACACGGACAGCTCGGAATACCTGTTGCGTAAGTTATCGTCATGGCTCGTTCCAGAAGCGGAGGAACCTTTAGGAATCTATATTTTTCTACATTTAGTTGATCTTTTTCTTTTTTTTTGTCCTCTTAAGATATGATTCAGCCAGCTCATCACTTTTAATTTTTTTATTTTGCTGTGTTTTGCGCAACTATGTGACAGGTGCCCGAGTACCTACTTAACATACTTTCATAGACTAACACATACTGAAATAAAACACAGAACTAAAATTGAGTTATTTTAAAAGCAATTGTGAATAATGGATTATTAAACTTGTTTTAAACGTATTTGAAGGCACATCATCAAAATGTAAAAGGTTTTCTTCAAAAATCCTTAAGATAAAGCGAATACAAATTGTTTTAACTCATATAAATGAAGTTAAACAAAGGAAAATAAAATGTAAAATACACTGGAAAATATATGTCCTTTTAAAAAAGTGGGCAAAAGTAGAAAAAAAGCATGTCATCCATTCTCCAGTGATTCATTTCAGGCCGTCTCTCTTTGTTAGCAAGCCTTCACATCTGAGGACCCTCAAGTACACAATGAGGGTGCACTTAAGATTTTGCGTGGTCAGCAGCAAATATATTTTTAATCAAATAATTTTTTTAAAAATCACACGACTAAATTGTTCTTTATCCAACTTGCAAAACCTGTATTTTGTGTGTGACAGGTATCGTACGAGCCTCCAGTGTGTTCCCCATCCTCAGCACGGTGTTGCTCATGCTGGGCGGCTTGTGTGTCGGAGCGGGCCGAGTCTACAGCAAAACGAACAACATCCTCCTCAGTGCCGGGATTCTTTTTGTTGCCGCAGGTAGAGTGAAGCGTCCTTCTGTTAGTCAGTTGGTTTGGAATGAAGAATGGCCACAAGCTGTATGGCAGGGCTAGCAAAACCTCAAGGGATATATTTGAGTGTTCTTGTAAGGCTGATGCTCGACGCATGGTTTTATTCCGTTGGCTTTTCAGAGTTTGAATCAAGGAATTTGATGAGACCATTTCAACAAATGGTGAATCACTGCGCAGTGTTTGGCTGCAACAATAGAGGTGGAAGGAACAAAGTCTCATCGCACCATTTACTAGCACTCATTTTAAATCGAGGAATGCAGACTAAAGATAGTGATACACAGTCAATAATTGGTCAGTTGTTGCAGTGATATTATATTAAATGTACATTCACGCAAAAACAAACAAACAAACAAACAAAAAAGTAATCTTCGGAGTGGCTTTCTAGCTAACTCATGCCACGCTAACCGCTATCTAGCCTTGAGGCTAATGTTGGCAAAGTCAACGCTGTTTACGCTAAAGCTGTCAACTCTTCTGTCTCATTAACTGAAACAATACCTTAGAGAATTGATTACACCTGAGCATTTTGGTGACAGAGACTCTTCACACTTGGCTTTTTGTCAGAGGTACGCGTGAGACATGCTTACTGTACAATTTGTACACCTTGATTGCGGATGTCGCTTTGTCACTGAAAAGATCATGTGAGACCACGACATCTGCAATGTGATGGCGACAGCATTCATCTGCTATTCAAATTTTGAATTTGAAAAATCCACCCCAAAGCCCAGTATTTTGAACCTTGTCATGAGTGTAGAAGTAGACCGATCAAGTATTTGTACTTGGTTCCTTCCCACTACTGATGTGATTTCTGCCTTTTCTGCTTCGTCAGGTCTGAGCAACATCATCGGCATCATCGTTTACATCTCAAGCAACGCGGGAGACCCCAACGACAAACGGGACGACGACAAAAAGTACACGTACTCCTATGGCTGGTCCTTTTACTTCGGCGCCCTGTCCTTCATCGTAGCCGAAACGGTGGCCGTCCTGGCCATCAACATCTACATCGAGAAGAACAAGGAAGTGCGCTGGAAGGCGCGACGCGAATTCATCCGCTCCCTCTCGTCCTCGTCCCCATACTCCCGCATCCCCAGTTTCCGCTACCGCCGGCGGACGTCTCGGGCCAGCTCCCACTCCACTGAGGCGTCGCGGGAGAACTCGCCCGTAGGGGGCCTGAAGGGAGTCGGGGGGACGTCTCCCGGCGGGCCCTTGGACGAGCTGTCGATGTACGCCCTGGCGCGCGACAGCGTGACGGACAACGCGTACAGCCCCGAACACGAGGCGGCCGCCGAGTTCCTGCAGGTGCATAACTGTTTCCCCAATGATTTAAAGGACGGCGTGAATCGCAGGACCACACCCGTGTGAGGCACACGTCGAGGGGACGACAGCCAAATGAGGACAAGCCGACCTTGCAGTTGCCCAACGACATTCCGCTCTCTATACTTAAACATAGAAGTCAAGATACTTGTGTCAAAGAGAAAAAAAAGGAGTGCTGATTGAACTCCTGTACTTAAGAAAAAGTAAAAAAGTACAGACTGAAGCGCTAAAAAAAAATCATGTCCATCCATGTACGTAGTAGTGTGATTTTAGCGAAACAAATTTGTGTACTCGTAGAACTGTGTGCCCAAAAGTAAACTACTGTGGGGTACAAGTAATTCTACTAGGCTCAACTGGGCATGTGTCGCACACTAGTAGCCTCCTGGACCCTTCTAGTTGCACCAAAATGCCTATTAGTAGTTTTTTCTTCATTAATAAAATGTAGTTACTTGTACTAGTGTGCAGGAATGTGATACAGTCGTGGAAGAAACTTTACTAGCAAGAAAAGAAAAAAAAATTCTACGAGTGCGCTAAATTGTTTTACCGTATTGGCCCGAATATAAGACGGCCCTGATTATAAGACAACCCCCTCTTTTTCAAAACTCAAGTTTGAAAAAAGACTTTTTGAACACCAAATGAATTTTTATACAGAAAATAATTACAGTACATCTGAAACAAATGATTATAACAATATATTTGAGAGAAAAAGCATCTTGAAGTTTACACCATAACTTCTCCTCAGCTGCCGGTTAACCTGGCCGATCTTCGACCCACGTTTCTCCAGATTGTCGCTACATTTCTCCATTTTCTGTTATCTCTTCTATTGTTTTCTTCTCTTTTCTTTCTTACCGCTATTTTTTATTTTTCTTCTTCGTGCTTCCGCTATTTTTATTTTTATTCTTTGTGACAGGGGTTCGCTTTGGTCTGGGGAGTCAAGTTCAACATTCGCTTCAATGATATCTGGCGCCATCTAGCGTCGTGAATGGGTATAATGTCTAGACCCCGAATATAAGACGACCCCCACTTTTTCAGTCTTATTTCAATGCAAAAAACACCGTCTTATATTCAGGCCAATACGGTACTAGTAAGGACAAAGACGTACGAGGACGAGTGACACACTAGTAGGACCAGCTCACGTTAGTAATGAGCCAAAACTGTGTATTAGTTGACTACTGTGTGCTACTTGCATTATACAGTTCGCTCGTCAAATCAGTCGCATGCAGATGCCAACTAGTGCACTGTTTTTCCTCACTGGTAAAATGTCGTCATTCTAAAGTTGTCCTACGAGTATGCAGAAATATACAGTAGTGGAAAACATTATGAGTGAGACACGGTTATTCTACAGGGCCCTCGTCTTACTAGTGAGACGGCATACTAGGAGGAGGATATGGAATCAGTACTCCAAGGGCTTCCCATACCAGTCTGTCCCCTGCGTTCCAAACGCTACTCGAGTCTTCGAAACCCCAGAGGAGCTGGATGTTGATTTCTACAAGTGCATCCTTGGAGTATAATGTGAGAAGACGTTAGAGCTTCTTTTTGTATGTTTTTGTTGGGCCGGTGATATAAAATCACTCTGTTTAAAAAAAAAAAAAAAAAAAAAAAACAAGAAAGAACAGATCTCTCGCAGGGTTTTGGCCACCTGAAAAAAAAAATAAACACCACACCTCAAATAGAAACCTCCCTTTTGCCCTCTCTGGCCAACTGAAATATATTTGACATTGAAATATATATTAGTGAGTCATTTGTGGAAATGTGTCTTTTTATTTAATATCATAAAAGTGCATTCTCACAAATAAAGGCATCCCCTTAAATAGGCGGGTTTCCCTTAATTCTTGATCAATGCCTTGTACTCTGTCCAATGGAGGGAATAAATGCCCTCAGCCATTCAACGTTGAAGCACAGGACATAAAATGGCCACCTGACGATGAAGCCATAGAATCACATTTGTGAAAAAAAAAATGTTGTATTATGAGAAAACTGTTATCGATATGACAACCGAAGATTCTAAAAATAACGTATACGCAAATTTGTATTTTGTAGTTTGAACTGTGTGTATTTTAGCGCCCTACAAAGACTTTAAAAAAAGATATGACCAGGGCATCATTTGATTTCCTCATGTTAATATATTTATTTTTATTTTATATTTGATTGTAATGATTGTGTCTGATAGAAATTGAAATTTGTCTATTCCGCTCAAGTCAGAGAAAGCCATGAGTATATTCTTTATTATTACAATGTGTGGGAGGGAGGGTGAGGTGGGGTGTAAAGGTGTGGCTTACTGTTTACAAATGAAATTTCAAGAAATAAATGTGGAAAAAAAAACTTGTACAGAATCGTGAGCATCATTTGGTGGAAAAATGTCACGTTAACAGTTGATGCCAAAAGTTGCTAAAATTAGTCCGTGATTGTTCTCCTATGTTAAGTACAGCATGTACGTTTGAGGAAAAACAGCTCAAATGTGCATTGACGTAATTTTATAGCTTACTTTTATTATGGAATAATCATCTTGGCAATAATATGCTCTATACACCGCCGCTAAACATGGCTTTATGATTACTGTAATATAGTGTTTGTGGAGTATAAATTAAGCAGCAAAATCCAACCGTTTTGTATCAATCTCAGACACGGATTTATATGTGAATGGACGAACATTTGGCCCCCGCGGCTGAAGCTAGAGGGCAGCCATTTTACGTTTCCACTGTTACTGACAAATTCTTCTATTTTTTTTTATTTTTTGCTGAAAACAGTGTTATCAATCTTTATTTTACGCCACCATCCCTATCTGGCATTTTGCAGCATTGTTTTTTTTTTTTCCTGAGGGGCTTCGCTTTCGTTGCATTGTAGGAGGTTCTGAAACATGATGCAGACAAACCTTAGTCGCACCTTATAAGACAAAAATTTATAATCGCATTCTTATCGATTAAATGTGCATGTAGCGCTTCCCCCAACATATGGGCAGTATTAGACTACCCTTGTGTATCAACGTGTGAAACCTATTGCCCCCAAATTGCAAGGGGCACACGTATTTGAAAAGGGCCATCCAGATGACGACGAATGTATTGACATTGATCGTCCCTCCGGCGACGATCGGCAACGGCAACGGTGCATTGCTTGCCACTGCCACTGTACGTACGTACGAAGCGATGAAACTTCCCTTTGAAAGGAGCATTTTTATACATTGAGTTACCGAGTAAAGCAGTGTCGTGGTTTCCCCATCTTGCCACCGCCTTCACACTTAGTTTCATGTTTGTTGAATGCGCGGCTCATTAACACACAGCGCTCGCCACTCCAAAGGAGATTGATGGAGCCAACCAGGTCAAACGGGTGAGGACGCCGCCAAAACAAACAAGCGGCGTGCTTCGTGTTGCAGAGACGAGTATCCATCTATGGGGAGTGGCCCGAGGGCCACTAATCTAATTTAGCTGGAGAAATGTTGCCTGTCATTGGCAAATGAATCGCCTCTGAAGGCTGAGCAATCTATTCCGCTACAGGTAAAATTAGCCGCCAATTAAAAATGTTTTTCAACCCCCGTATTTAAAAAAATAAATAAAATTAAAAAAATCCTCACAGGGTGGCTGGCAGCTATAATTGAAGTTAATCACGGTGCAGTTTAGTGGCACCAATCGTGGATGCTCGTTTTCGTCACTTCAGTCATATGAGGGGGGGAGTCAGGGCCGCTTTTGCACTTGATTGGCGGGGATGCGTCGCCATGGTGGCCTTGTTGCCTGGAGACCACGTTGATGTCGACTTTGCTTCCCGGTCGTGCTCAGAATGACAAGAGTTGGAAAGGGTCACAAGGCCAAAAGCTGTGGTGGTTGGTTAAGGACAGGAAGGGCTTTTCTGCGGGCCTAAGCGCGATCAAAAGCACTCATCCACATTTACAACCGAAATTCAAATTCAGTAACACCTTGCCCTGCAAGTTTCTTTTCAAAATTCAGTTTTCCCCATTGAAATGAATCAACTCTCAAAACATATTTTTTGTGTTACATAATATAAGAGAAGTACACGTGCATATCAATTGTTTATGATTTCAGCCTCTTGTTACCATGCCAATCTAATCCGCAAGGGCTTTCACAATTGGTATTGCCGGCCCAAACATATTTTAATGCGAATGTTTCTTCAACCAATTAGATTTCAAATTCACTCTGAAACGGGCCAGAGCTCTGGCCCATTGATGACATCAGCATTTTTCCAGCCTCTGATTGCTTGGTTCGAGCCAAAACGAGCAAAACACTTCTATGGTGTTGCATTTTTCTGTGGAACGATGGTTTCTACAATGGGGTAGGTACCAAATTTGGAACCCCTTAAGCCTCCCTACGCCCAACCCCGACAATTTTTTTTTTTTACATCGCAGTGGTTGCGCGTTGATCTGTCCTTGAAATGAAAAAGTTCACAGGGTCACGGGGCCAAAAGACACCATTATAACACACTTAGATGTTCCAAGGAGCAAAAGCATTTCGACCACAAACGCAATCCAGGTGGAAGGTGACAATGAAACAAGCGCCTCTCTGCCGCCTGCTTCCTCCTCCTTAAAAGCCAGCTGATTTATCTCTGATGATCAATTTCCCGCTTGGCTTCGCTAGTGATGGTGTTTACAGAGAGCACTTTCACAGCACGCTCGCTTTTGAAAATAGTGTGACGTGTCCGAATCAAATAGCACAGCTGGGATACACAAGCGCTGGCTGGCTGCATGTTACGCCTGCAAAGTGTAAATGGAAGAAGCCACTCCTGAGAGAAGGCTGTCGACCAAAACGTTGGTATCCAGCAGCAGGTACCACAAGTACTCGCACGTTGTACTGAAGCAGAAGCACAAATTGTAAAAATAAAAGCACTGGCGTAAGTAAAAGTTGACATATTTTTGCTTTGACTTGAGAGCAAAAATTTGAGATAAGAGCACTTTACAACGGCAGTGAACTCAACTCAATTCACAACAAACACACGTTTGGCAGCAAGTGACAAGTTCTTCAAAAAAGGCTTCCAGCTGTTCAATGCCACTCCCTCTTTACTGTCAAACTAAACAAACAATAAAAAATAAGCAACTGTGTACCGTATTTTCTACACTAAAAGGTGCACTGGATTATGAGGCGCACCTTTAGTGAATGGCCTATTTTGTAATTTTTTTCATATATTGGGCGCACTGCATTATAAGACGCAATCTACAATGCATCCACTAGATGGAGCTACGCTCAAGGAAACGTCAACAGAACGATCAGATGTCAGTAAAACATTTTGAATAAAGCCGCGACACAGTCCACTTAACCAACAGCAAGTTATAACATTGACTCGTTAACGTTGAACTCTCGTGCCGCTGCTCTATTTTCGTGTTCAACTGCGTAACCAATCACCTTAAGTTTGGACTCTGCGTTGTCAGCATGTCTCGAGGAAGGAGCCATTTTGGGGTCGAAATATTACCGTATTGACCATACACAAGGCGCATCGGATTTTAAGGCGCGCTGTGAGCTTTGAAGAAAATGGAAGGCTTTTAGGTGCAGTGGTTGCACGTTGATCTGTCCTTGAAATGAAAAAGTTCACAGGGTCACGGGGCCAAAAGACACCATTATAACACACTTAGATGTTCCAAGGAGCAAAAGCATTTCGACCACAAACGCAATCCAGGTGGAAGGTGACAATGAAACAAGCGCCTCTCTGCCGCCTGCTTCCTCCTCCTTAAAAGCCAGCTGATTTATCTCTGATGATCAATTTCCCGCTTGGCTTCGCTAGTGATGGTGTTTACAGAGAGCACTTTCACAGCACGCTCGCTTTTGAAAATAGTGTGACGTGTCCGAATCAAATAGCACAGCTGGGATACACAAGCGCTGGCTGGCTGCATGTTACGCCTGCAAAGTGTAAATGGAAGAAGCCACTCCTGAGAGAAGGCTGTCGACCAAAACGTTGGTATCCAGCAGCAGGTACCACAAGTACTCGCACGTTGTACTGAAGCAGAAGCACAAATTGTAAAAATAAAAGCACTGGCGTAAGTAAAAGTTGACATATTTTTGCTTTGACTTGAGAGCAAAAATTTGAGATAAGAGCACTTTACAACGGCAGTGAACTCAACTCAATTCACAACAAACACACGTTTGGCAGCAAGTGACAAGTTCTTCAAAAAAGGCTTCCAGCTGTTCAATGCCACTCCCTCTTTACTGTCAAACTAAACAAACAATAAAAAATAAGCAACTGTGTACCGTATTTTCTACACTAAAAGGTGCACTGGATTATGAGGCGCACCTTTAGTGAATGGCCTATTTTGTAATTTTTTTCATATATTGGGCGCACTGCATTATAAGACGCAATCTACAATGCATCCACTAGATGGAGCTACGCTCAAGGAAACGTCAACAGAACGATCAGATGTCAGTAAAACATTTTGAATAAAGCCGCGACACAGTCCACTTAACCAACAGCAAGTTATAACATTGACTCGTTAACGTTGAACTCTCGTGCCGCTGCTCTATTTTCGTGTTCAACTGCGTAACCAATCACCTTAAGTTTGGACTCTGCGTTGTCAGCATGTCTCGAGGAAGGAGCCATTTTGGGGTCGAAATATTACCGTATTGACCATACACAAGGCGCATCGGATTTTAAGGCGCGCTGTGAGCTTTGAAGAAAATGGAAGGCTTTTAGGTGCAGCTTTTAGTGTGTAAAATACGGTATTTAAAACGGCCACAAGGGTATTTTTCAATACGTCTGTCTAGCTTTATGCTATGGAACAATATAGAATGCCATTGAAGGGACGAACAAATCGCATCAGTATCACCGAGTTGTAACACCTTGAAGCAATGAGCAGTGAAGCAAATAACACTCACAGGCGTACTACATTCTTTATCCTCAACAAAGAATGACTAATGTATCTGCAGCTGACGACGGAGCGTTTTGTGTGTGTGTGTGTGTGTGTGTGTGTGTGTGTGTGTGTGTGTGTGTGTGTGTGTGTGTGTGTGTGTGTAAAATCCCAGTTGTGATATTTGGGTTGAAAAAGAGTTCTCCCAAAAGTGGGGCATAGTACTATTAAAAAAAAGAAAAAAATGTCCATTCACTCGAGTCTTTCATGGTGATGAAAAAGATGACCATTGTGCCCGTGAGATTAGTTATTTACTTGAGTGCGCTGCTCTTCTTTGAGATTTGAATATTACATTTTGTTGCTTGGTTTCATTGCCGCAGTCCTGTGAAAAGCAGCGACAACAGAACCCTAGTTGTTCTAATTTCAACACTTTTTTTTTTTTTACACATAAGAAATTATCCATTTTCTGAGGCTTTTGTCCCCAATGCGTTCCTCAAATATATGATTTTTTTTTTACAGTGATGACTCATCTTACACACTACTCAGTAAAGTAATCTGACTACAGTTATTTTGCGAGATCACAATTTGTTACTGTCACGGCAATAAATAATGCCAAGCAGCTTACGGAAAAGCGTCAATTCCCATTCTCTAGATGGTGATGGCGCCTTTCGTTGCCTCATGGGCGCAACAGTGAGTGACATTTGACAATACATGAATAGAAAGCATGTGTTTTGTTCGCCTAATGGTAAGTCCGCCCCTGTTTGTGCCCTTCTACAAAAAAAAAAAAAAACGACAAAAACTGAAAAGCAGTTGTGGAGTTGATTCATCAGCTGCTGTGTTGCCGTACATTCGAGATGTCGTTTTCCAGAAAATGGTGACTGGATTTCAAATCATAACCTCTATGGGCTTAGCTTCACCCTTTCAGGGACAGTGGTCACTACAGTGGACAGCCTAGCATGTTATCAGGTTACAGGTTATCATTATTGGTGCATGAAATGTTTACATTTGTGAATGATGTATCATTTTTGTCAGTCACACCAGAACAAACCCAATAATTAATCGTCTTGGTTAGACCAGCTTTCCACTGGACTTCTACGCAGGATTATAAAAATGCGTTGTTTTTTTTTTTTGGGGGGTTGTTTTTAACATGGCTCTAAATGTGGATCATCTCGTGCCATCGAGTGGGACCCTCTTGGCTGACTCCTGATTGGCTGAGTAAGTGGATCAGCTCATCTGACAACTAATAAAGGAAATATCCCCTCCGGGGGTCCCCTGACACGCAAATGAGTTTTCGTAGCCGCTAAGAATATGAAAATGTTCTACATAGATAACAACGTTGTTTTTGAGGCCCTTGATGTGTCAAAATGGAGGGGAGGGAGGGGGGAGGGGCACAAAAATGACCTGAAGTTGACTTTCGATTGCACCTATAGTAGGTGCCAAAAGTACGTCTTCATCATTTAGTGCACGGCTTCCACTCACCAAATAGAAAGCGGTGAGGGAGAGCAAGAGTGGAGAGGTAGAAAGTAGGACGCCGTTTTCAGGTCCCCCCCTTTTTTTTTTCCTTGTACGAAGCGACAGGCACAAGGCAGAGGGCGAGAAAGACGTAGGCCAGTCAAGGAACGGGACCGGAGGACGACAAGCGAGAAGAACCACCGGAGCCAAACGGCGACTTGTACGTTCAGTATGTTCGAGGAGCAGGCCACCAAGGTGAAGATCACGTCGGTGGTGATCGTGGTGGGCATGTCGGCCATGCTTGCCGCCGTGGTGACGGATCACTGGGCTGTCCTCAGCCCCCGCGTGGACAAGCTCAACGCCACCTGCCAGGCCGCTCATTTCGGTCTCTGGAGGCTATGCAAGAAAAACATCTTCATGGTGGAGGAGGACCCACAGGGCAAAGGCTGCGGCCCCATCGGCTTACCCGGAGGTAGGATGACCCAAAAGAAGGTAGCTAGGTCCATCCTGTGTGGGCCCGCAATTTGCTCCTCGACATTGACCGGTAGTGTGACAGAGCAACTGTAGAAAATAAATGAACGGAGGTCGTCTTGAGCTGAGGATGTCAATGCAAGAAAGGTGCAAACGAGCTTTTCGTGTCTGCAGCTTGAAGGTCAAAGCGGACGAAGAATAGAAAATGAAAGTCCACCTTGACATTAGCATCTCCTTTCGATGCCTTTGTGCCGGAAATCGATTAAGATGACAAATGTATTCTGTACTTGGGCAGAAGTATGGATTCTTGTAAATGGGAGGAAAGCGCTCTGCTGCAAACTGAGAGGTTGATTCTCAGGTGGGTTCGTTTCTTCCGGCTCAGAATTAGAATCCGACTCTGGAAGCTGAAACATGAATGGATGCGGATGCATAAGAAAGTTGATGGAGGTAGATCAAGTAGAATCCACTTTTCAGGTCATCGTGGCAGTACTTGATTGACACATTGACAGTTGATTTCAACGCATTGCACTGACAGGTAATCGGTATTTAGAAAGACACGACTACTCGAGCAGGCAATCACACAGTGCCAGGGAAAATCTGCCCAGAGGGCCAAACTCGAACTCAGCATCAACAAATGCTCGATTAGGCGGATGCTTGGGGGGGGGTTAGCTTTATCTAGCCTTTGGCTGGGTGTGTGCATGTCTGGCCGCTTCAGTCTTCAGATTTTTTTCATTGACTTAAGTCTGCCGGCTCCTGCTCCTCGACATCAGGACGCGTCTTAATAAAGTGTGCCTTAGCGCTCCATCTCGGCATTTAAAAGCACACCTGGGAGACCCAAGGTGGGGGGTGGTGGGGAGTGGGGAGCATTGACGGCGGCATGGATTTGTGTGCTGGGGATGAGGAAGTAAAGTGAAGGATGTTCAAATGTCCAAGGGGAGCTTTTAGTGGGTCTTGTATGTTCATTTTGAAGGTCTCCGCATCGTCTTACTGGATAACAATGGAGGCGCAATTTGCTGTCAAAGCACCGAAATGCCCAGCCAGTACGCACCACGGTTTCCTTCATAAGATTATTTTGGCATGTCGCATCTCCAGTGTCCACGTGGGTGACTCGGAATGAACGGGACTTTCACGGGGTGTAGCTAACCGTCTAAAATGTTCACCCAGAACCGTTTCAGGAGCGCATTTTGGGTCATTGGGAGTCGTTTGAGGGCGGAGTCAAAGAGCTTAGGTTCACCCCCATTTTCAGCCACTCCTCGATCTGTGCTCCGTCGCCAAGGCTTCCTCAAAGCGTCACACCAATCCAGCTCCCGCAGTCATGACAATTAACCCTTTCGTGCTCCCTGTAACCCGATAACATGATAAGCTGTCCACTGTAGTAACCGTTTGTCCTTGAAAGGGTTGAATGCAATGTAAAGAAATGAAACTGTTTTCGCCCCATTTTTTGCTTTGGGTCAGGTCTAGACTATTCGGGTCTGTCTAACACGAATAGAGTGCAGCAAAGAACATCCTGAGGCATTTTTATATGGCCACACATCTGACCGCAGGCACCCGCAGGATCTGAACAAAGTCTCTGAAGGCTCCGGTGTGTCCCAGTTTATCTTTGATCTCTGTTCACATTGAATTAAGCGGTCACACCACATCAAAGACGGCTGATGACACTGAGATGGCTAACAGACGGCAACAACAACAACAAAACTCCCTTTGAATGACAGGTGTGGAAACACGACACCTTTTACAGTCCTTTACTCACCCCCCCCCCAACTAAAATGTCTCAATTAGTCGGACTGCAAGGTCAATGATGGGACCGAATATCCTCCAATTGGTTCCACCTTGGCTCGTTAAACAACTACGTTTAATGAACGCCACATTTCATATGGGACACACTCGATGACAAGTGCCGTGCGCGTCGGCACGAAGATGACGTAGTGATGCAATCTCGCAACCTTTATTGCATTATTGGCAAAGTCAGTGAGCGTGGTCATAGTGGAGTCTTTCCGACATGGTTTGTTCGCACATTAAAGAAACAGTTCCATTGCTAATAAAGTTGACGTTATATGGGCCGGCATTATTAATGACTACTTGTGAAGCCCTCGGGCGGACTGGGCTGACAGAAGACGCAGGGCTCCGTATTTGTCGACGGCGCAGCTGCGCTTGCGGCGTTTTCTTTATGAAAAATAAATGGTCTACTTTCACTTTAGATGACATCATTCCTCGATACTGGTTGGTTTGGTTCCTCTGCGGCATGCTGCGCGTCCCAGTATAACTAATTGAGAGGGCTGGGGGGTTTTCTCAGTATTGACTCCGCTGGAGTCAATTTGGGTCTCACGATGATTTTATTTTCCGACCTGTGTGCATACAATGACATCAGACTGGTGTTGTATTCAACGATCTCGCTGGCTCTCCCGGGCATCTTAAGCAATCGAAATCGGTTCCACGCTAATCGACGTTAGCAACGTTAGCTCAATCCGTCGACGGACAGCGGCTGAAAATGTCACCCAGCGACCATAACCCTCGCCCCAAAATCACCCGGGCTATCCCCAACGACGTGTTCACAACAACAGCGCGGCCCATCTGCCGTAACACCGAGTTTTATTATTCAAATTGCCGCGACTGTTGGGGGAGAGCAGGATGCTTGTCTTACCTGGGCCACATCCAGAGCAACGCGGCGTGACGTCACCACGCTATCATTCTCCGCAGCACGGACGCCAGCTAAAATATACACAACAATGATGGGAAGTGGTTTGGTGAAATTAATAGTGTATTGTAACCGTTTTTTTTTCTTTGACATGCACCAGGCACCCCTGATGATTCGGCTATTACCTTTCATTTGTATTGGCACGCGCAGTGTCGTGTGATTTTTGTGAATTCGATGAACCCATTTTATCCCAATTTTTTCCCAGACATTTAAAAGTCAAAATCAGGTGTCATTGGTAGCCCTTTTAAGTAATCAGTAAAACAAAATTTTAGAGCCCTGTAAATTGAATCATTGTTGTCCTTCACAAATGTGACCGGTGGGATTAAATGGAATTTATTAAAGTGAAAGCAGACAGATTTTGAGCTCCGCGGATATGTGTGTTGGACGTTACCGTATATCTTTCGGAAATATGACAACGCGCATTGAACACATTCTTATCATACCTAAAAATGAACATTTTTTTCAAAAAGCATCACACTGTGCTATGTTTCAAAGGGAATAAGAATGCAGCTGTGCTCACACCCACAACAATAATACACACACCCACAACGGTGCAAAACACTGGTTTTAAACTGTGTGCACCTGTGAAAAGACCAAAACAAAGTCTAGCCTGCCCCGGTGCATTTTTTTTTTTTTTACCCCGGACAAAAAATAAATAAATAAATCTAACATTGACATAAATGGACTGAAAGCACTGCAGCTTCGTCAAAACGGAGCAGCATTATCTTTGTAAAGGCAGACTTTTCATACAGCTGTTGCACTCTCTCATAGATGATTTGGTTTCTGTAACATGCTCGCGCACACACAAACGCATGCCCACAGTCCCCTTGCTATGCCATAACATGTGGATGAATTGGACCAGCCAGGACCGGCAGCAGCCTGTTGCTAGGTAACCTCTTTAGTGATTCTTTCTCATCCGGAGTAACAAACGGCTCCTCTGTTGCCTGGTGTATACACACAAACGCACACACGCACATGCACAAACGCGCACACACACACACACACACACACACTAATATTGTCCACCAATAGACCAAGATAGATCCAAGGACATTATTAAAGTACAAAGCAAAACCGACAAAGTACAAACAATGACTCTGGTAACAATGAACTAAGAGAAAATATAATAAACCAAAAGCGCTTGCAAACGGCAAGGGAAAGAAAATGACGAAGCGGCTTGTAGCACTTAACAATAAACACTGACGATGATCAAGGAAGAACTCAGAATGAGACAAAACGGACTATGGAATGAGAATAAGGGACATCGAGAGAATTCAAGCGCTTGGTACATCAGATGTGAGCAAGGCAGGACTAATCCAAAAAAACGAGTTGTCAGCTTGGCAGTGTTTTAAAGGTGGCTGATCATGAGCTTGACGATGAACTGCTTGTATTGAAACACTGTACTACAAAGCGGAGCATACAAGAGACGCACATGAAAACAAAGAAAGTATCGAATGACAAAAAATACAGTTCATAAAATGTTAGTCAGCAGCAAATTTGAATTTGAGATTTACATGTAGTCTCGAAATGTATTTTGACACTGATTTAAAAAATGTCTTTATAGGTTTTTGAGATGTTCAATTTTTGCTTGTGCGATACAGAATGACAAAAAATACAGTTCATAAAATGTTACGTCAGCAGCAAATTTGAATTTGAGATTTACATTTAGTCTCGAAATGTATTTTGACACTGATTTAAAAAATGTCTTTATAGGTTATTGAGATGTTCAGTTTTTGCTTGTGCGATACGGTCTTTTACGACGTCTTTGTCTTTGCAGCCAAGAACTGCTCCTACTTCAAACACTTCACATCAGGAGAAGAAGCGGAGGTTTTTGAAGTCAAGACCCAGAAGGGTAAAAGTTGCATCATCACCCCTTTTTTTAATATATATTTATATATAAGTATAGATATATATCAGGCGGCCCGGTGGTCGACTGGTTAGCGCGTCAACCTCACAGTGCAGAGGTCGTGGGTTCGATCCCTTCCTGTGTGGAGGTTGCATGTTCTCCCTGTGCCTGCGTGGGTTTTCTCCGGGTACTCCGGTTTCCTCCCACATTCCAAAAACATGCATGGCAGGCTGATTGAACACTCACTAAATTGTCCCTAGGGGATCGGCTCAAGCACTCCCTGCGACCCTTGTGAGGATAAAGCGGATCGGAAAATGGATGGATGGATGGAGATATCTATCTATCTATCTATCTATCTATCTATCTATCTATCTATCTATCTATCTATCTATCTATCTATCTATCTATCTATCTATCTATCTATCTATCTATCTATCTATATATATATATATATACATACATACATATATCTACACTCTCCCACACACAACTGATTTTTTCTTTGTTTTTTGTTTTTTTGCTCACATACACCTGTGAACTGTTCTCTCTCTCACATGTACATATCGATGATACCGATATTGTTTCACTCTAACGGAGACGAGCAAAATGCTCTCATACACGGCTAGAAAGCTCTCACTACAAAGGAAAATGCCAATTACTCACACGCACGCATACGCACACACACACGCACAAGCACACACGCACGCGCACACGCACAAACACAATTGAGATTCTGTGGCATGACCTTACATGGGCAGTTCATGCTAGAGAAACCTCCAAAATATGGCAGAGTTCAAGCAATTCTGCGAAGAAGAGTGGGCTAAAATTATTCCACAGTGATGTGAACGACTCATCACCAATTATCGCAAACGCTACATTTCAATTATTGCTGCTCAGGGTGGCACAACCCATTATTAGGTTCAGGGGGAAATTACTTTTTCACATCGGGACAGGTAGGTTTGGATTTGTTTTTTTTTTTTGTGTGTGTGTCAATAAATTAAAATAAGCATCTAGTAACTGCATTTTATCTTTCCTTGGGTTGTTTCTGTGTGATATTAAAAATGGTTTGATGAACTGAAATCTTGTATTAAATAAGCAAAGAACACAGAAATCAGAAAGGAGGCAAAGACTTTTTCATGGCACTGTACATATGTCTGTATTAAAAGTGCTCCAAGAAACATTTCCTTGCACAAAGAGGAAGAGGCCACATTGTGTGCATTTGTGTGTGCGTGTGCGTGTGCGTGTGCGTGTGTGTGTGTGTGTGTTTTAATGAGGGAGAATCGTTGTTTCAAATGTGTCACACAAATAGAATTACGGCCGCTTTGCAGAAGTGGCGCTTGTTTTCAGGTGTAGGCTAATTAAGTGTGGCGTAAATCAATTATGCGAGCCGCATTCAGTGGCTGAGCAGCCGCAAGGACTTGTCATTGTTTTTTGTTGCCAGAGTACAACATCTCAGCAGCGGCCATCGCCATTTTCAGCCTCTTCTTCATGATCCTGGGAACCTTGTGCGTCATCTTCTCCTTCGGGAAGGGCCGCGACTATCTGCTGAGGCCTGCTGGCATGTTCTTCGCCTTCGCAGGTGCAGCTCACTTCATTTTTTGCTTTTTGAATGGCGGATCGTTTGCGGTGGGGGGAAGTAAACAAGTTGAGTGCGCGCAAATTTGACTTGATTGGACCCAAATGCAGGGAAGTGGGAGAAACAAGGGGATCAGACATAATCTCGAAAAACAAAGACGGCAACCAGGGTTTTTGTTCGACTTAAACCACTAAATCAACAAAGAAAGAAAACACCATTCAGACTATGGGCAACTTGACATGGCGACGTATGGCAACAATGAACTGAATCAAAGCAGCGCACTAAATACACACAAATTGACGAAGACACCAAGGGACACCTGTACAAGGCACGAGTGGCAGGACGGAGCTGATTGTTTGAAGTAAAGAACAAGTGGAGGCGAAAACGAGTCAACGAGACTTGAACAAGGGACAAAGTAAAACAAGATCGAAACATAAAATCTAAACATCACCAACAAAATTACGCATCATGACATACTGTGCAACTTTCACAAGTGGCAAAAGCTTAAGCTAAGCGACCAAAAAAGAAGTTATATTATTTACTATATTTTATAAATTAATCATACAATTAATCAGTTCTTGGAATTTTTTCGGCTAAACATCGGAATCGGCATTGACCTTTAAAAAAAAAAAAAAAAAAAAAAAAAAAGGGAGAAAGAAAAAATCATCGCAATGAAGCCCTTTTACCATTTTGATGACTTAACGCACCTTCACAACACTCAAAATTGTTTCCTGCTTTTAAAAATTTACATAGTACAGAAAAGGAACAAAATATATGTTCCGTTTCGCATGTTTTTAATGAAACGAGCTGGCTTGCATTAGCTTGTTCCCATCGCCTTGCTAACACTGTGAACTGCCTAGCAAAAAAGCTAATCTAGCAAAAAAGCTACTTAGCTTTTTTGCTAGGCAGTTCACAGTGTTAGCAAGGCAATGGGAACAAGCTAATTTAGCAAAAAAAAAAAGTAGAAAAAAATGGGAGCAAGCTAATTTAGCAAAAAAGTTAAATTAGCTTTTTTTACACATAGCAAAAAAGCTAAATTAGCTTTTTTTGCTTGGCGTAAAAAAATAAAAATAAAAATACACCTTACTTGTACTCGCTTGTTCAGATTTGACGTCCTTTTTACACCGCAAAAGTGAATAAAAATAACAAAGGAGTGTAAAGTACAGATATCTGTTTCCGGATGTGGGGAGTAAAAGTCATCAGAAAAGACACTAGAGGAAAGCAGAGAAAGCTGACAACTTGACCTGAGTGCAGCGATGAAGTCTCGGTTATCTTGCCCGCAGGCCTGTGCATCATCATCTCGGTGGAAGTCATGCGTCAGTCGGTCAGGAGGATGATCGACAGCGACGAGACCATCTGGATCGAGTACTACTACTCGTGGTCCTTCACGTGCGCCTGCGCTTCCTTCACCCTCCTCATCCTGAGCGGCGTGGCCCTCCTCCTCATCTCCATGCCCCACATGCCCAGAAACCCCTGGGAGACCTGCATGGACGCCGAGCCAGACACCTTAGATTAGCTTCACACCTGCTCACACTTCGAGAAACTGCTTGTATATAAACAGAATTTGAAAACGTGCGGTTATCGTATGCGCAATAGTAGAAATAGTAGAAAATAAGAGCAATAATTTTATAATACGCGAAAGGAAAAGTGTAATTTGATGAGAAACTAGTTGTCATGTTAGGGAACGAAATCATCATTTTAGAATCACTAGAATAAAGTGGCAATGTGAGGAGAAAATAACGAACGTTGTTTCGAGATTCAAGTCAGAGTACAAGGAAAAAAAGCAAGAATAAAAAAAATTGCGAAAAAGTGAGGATGAAATCCTAATCGTAGGAGCTGCTGCCTGCCACCGCTCATGTCCAGACACTCACGCTGTCAGACCCCGCCTCTTCAAGGCACACGCAGACATTACAATATGTACAGTATTTTCTATGCATTTTAATCGGGGTTTTTTTGTGTCTTGTAATACGTTTTAAATGTTTTCATATGTGTAAAAATATTTAAAGCGTGTGGGAGGGGCATTTATGTCTTTTAGGTGCTCTCTTGATAACGGAGAACCACCACCACCGGGAAATGGGGCTGGAATGTATCGAGCAATAGTTTCCGTCGCTATAGCTAAAAAAAAAAACTTGAAAAAACAACAACAAAAAAAACCCCATCTTTTTCAAATGAAAAAAAAATGTCTTTGTTCCTGGTATAAGAATATTTTATAAATGAAACCGCGGCATTTCCTATGAGATAAGTAATGAATGGTTGCCATGGCCCACCTCCACCCACCATCTTTTCTCTTCTCGAAAGACTTTCTCCGATCAATGGGACTCATTGATGCCGGCCAAAGAAAGAGGTAACACTGAGCTGATTCTGGCGCCTGAAGAAAGAGGCGACACTCGTCCTCCGTGGCAATCGGCATCCATTCCGCTCGACTAATTCCACGCCCGTCCCCCGCTGACCTGAACCCGCCGACTAGACCGTTTTAATCGATGCAAGCGTAATAAAGTAGCGCTTTCTTTTTTCGTGTATTAAAGTAGTGTCTGAACGTGACTTTGTTGTGTTTTGCTGTCTTGATGTTGATATCGGTCCATATGAGAGCAATATCCGCTAAAATAGCAACAGGCACTTTTGCCCCACAGCAACAATATTCAGCTTGATCATGTCCACTTAGAAGTCACTTAATGCGCCTTCTCCAAATAAAAACACATTTGTCCCCCCCACCCCGCTCGTCAAACTCTCTTGCCCACACACTTGCGTCAAGGAAGAAAAAGGCAGAAGGCGGCGAAAAAAGGATGAAATCTCCAGAGACTTCGCGCTCTGTTGGCCGCAGCTTTCGAGGAAATGTATGCAAGGAGCTGCCTTAATCTTTCATGAGACCTTTACCTTTGGAGTGATAGATGCGGCATGTCTCGAATCTACTCACTGTCACGTTTCATTCCCAGGAATTCGTGGGGGGGGGGCTCATCTGCTGCTTCTGATGAATACCCGGCAAAATTTGACTTCGTAAGCACGTGAAGAGAGTCGACGAGATGATAACAAATGTGTTGCCGTGTCACTCGAGGAAGGTTGTTACCTTTGCGCTATTGCAGCACGGACCACCGGCTTTGCCTGTTCTTGTAGCGGGTGGGAAAGGTCACTTGGTAAGATTGCTTTGGTGTATAATTGGCTTGTGGTGGAAACACCGCCCGCACGCTAATTCATTATGTGGAAGAAAACAAACGAACAAACAAAAAAAAAAACATTTACTGCCCGAATGCTACGCTTGAGCTACATTTAAAACCTGAATGTGGATCTTTCCTCTTTGAAATGGTTTTAATTTATTCCCAACAATCTATTTCTTTTGTCTGTTTCGCTTGGCTATACTGCTGTCCAATGACAATTTTAATCTTATGTATTTAGTTATCATTTAATTATATTCATTATTGGCCACAGACTGAGTAGGACGAGTTGTTTTGATTAGGATTTTTATGATGGTATTTATTTTGCCCTTGATTGTCCGGGACCTTTTGTTACAATTTTCATATCATATTAATTATGTGATTTTTTTTTTTTTTTTTTTTTTGCCATGACAGTGTGACAAATTGTTTTGGAAATGTTCATTTTAATTATTATTTTTTTAATTATTTTGATTGCCTTGTACATTTAGCCACCATTTCAATTATTTGGCTTCTGATTGTGTGAAATTAAACTGCTCCAAAAAACTTCAAGGGAACACTTGGAGTTACATTGTGCTGCTTAAGTGTTCCCTTTATATTTTTGGAGCAGTTTATTATTATTCATTGGTGGGTATCGTGTTGTCCCTTTTGTGTCCAGTCTTGATACAGGAACAATTTCCAGAATCACGGTTTTGCCAGTGTGACTGGAAGCTGTCAGCTGTCATTTCCTGACCGCTGTCTCAGACGTGTTACTCCTCTCCACCCACAGGCCAAGCCGACATGCGTTTTACATCCATCGGCATCCCCCCGAGAGAGGGTGAAAAGAAAAGGAAAAAAAAAAATCACAGGCTTCTTTCAACTCTGCCGGATGGGGGAAATCAATTTGAAATGAGAAGAGTTTGCGCTCGCTAGGGGATGAAGACTTAAAGTCCAGCCGAAGTCGATTCATCGATGACACCATTGATGTTTTTTCTTAGCACAGCACAGTGGTCCCCAGACTTTTTCGTGCGACGGAGCAGTTTCATTTAAAGACACAGTGAGCATAATAGCGAAAGTCTCATTATATAAAAGTAACATTTGCCTTCCGGTCACAACTGACAGGAAATAAAGAGCAGTGTGAAGTTTTTTCTGCATGTCTGTGGAGAGCAAAATGTACCAGTTTATGCTCCATTGCGGATAACATCTCTGTATTTAGTCATTACAGGATTCAGGGTAGGAGTTTTTTTGATCTGGAAAAAGAATGACTTTTAATTGCATTTGGCAGAGAAGTACTTCATTTTGCTTATCAAAATTATATTAAATGATTGAGAACAGAAGGGGCCCTTGAACACAACCTTGAGGGACATCACGCTGGTGAAGATCACGGTGAAGTTTGTACAATGCCAAGCAAATGGGTTGTGCCCTCTACTTTAATGCTGCAGTCGTGCAAAGTTTGTTTACCAAGATGCTAGTTCATTTTTCCATGGTGAGCTTTTGAACCGAACTGAAGTTAGCGCCACATGCTAATGTGGGGTAAACTCTCTGCTTGATATCTGCTCACCACATCGTTTGCTTCATATTCTCATCATCATGAAAGGCACCTTCAGAAGAAACCGCTGCCGTTTTCTTTAACGCTTAACATATCTTGGGGAAGTTGATATTGCACATCTTTTGCTTCTACTTTCATCACTAATAATCCCCCTTCTACGTCGTCTTCAATCCGATTGATTTTGCTCTTTCGTTCTGTCACTGCTGTGCTGCTTTCTTGATATTTTCTCCTTTTATCTGATTTTATTTTTTTCCCCTGTCTGCCTTTTTTTTTTTTTTTTTGCTCGTTCAAGCAGGCACTCGGCTGTCTAATGGCTCGGATCGGTGCAGACAGATGTGTCATAAGGCAATTCAAGCGTGCTCTACACCAGTACTTCACATGTACATGGAATACGGCGCAAAATGCACTCCGGCCTGGAGGATGGTGAGCAAGGATTGATGTGAAAAATAACAGGAGTGTGCTTGACTAAATGTGCCATGATAGCCGACAGAAGAAGAGAAGGGCTGTGATTTGATTTGATTTTTTCTAAAGAACAAAGAGCGACGATCTTAGTGAAGCACTTGTTGAAAAGACAAGACAAATATAATGCCGAGTATACTTGAGTCTCCACAAGGAGCAGAACGTCTTGAACGCCGAGTCTGAAAAAGCAAATGCCATCAGCGAAGCATATGAACCCCCCCCCCTGCTCACAGAGCAAAAGCATGGATTTGCATTTTCACACAAGGAGGCAGCACTTCATTAGAAAACTGCAGAATTTCAGTTTGTCAATTCCTGATCAATGTACAGAGTGCATGTAATGGATGCTTCGACAACCAGGGTATACACAATACAGTGTAGTGGGGCCATCACTTAAAAGCGGCTCTGGATCTTCACCCAGCCTACAAGTCATGGTCAAAGAAACGCAGCGTAGGGCTGAAGGACTTTTCTGATGAAAAGGTGGGCAAAATTCAGAACGGCTTCAGAATTTTCAAAAATGGACAGCTAGTTTGGTAATATGAATCATAAACAAACATTTTTCCGTACTGAGAATCTCTTTAAAATGTCGCCTGCTCTGTTAATAAAAGTTTTATGATTGGAAAAATCCGGACAAATTGAAGGTCCGGTCAGTGTCCAAGAAGAAATTGTGTTCGACTCTGGAGGTTCCACAGTCCCCTTTGCATTTTGTCTTTACGCGTTTGGCATTATCCCTGAGACTAGAATAGAATGTACAAACCATAAATGATGACTCATCAACATCATCAGTAAATGTAGGCAACAACCTCAAGTCATCAAATCGGCACTAGTTTTAAATAACTTGTCTCGCCGTCCCAAAACAAACTTCAAATTCAGCCACTTGAGTCAAACCAGTCTCACAAGCTACAACAAATGCCAACAATAATAGCATCTATTTGAGTATATTACGTGAGCAATTTAGTTCAAATGGCATCAATACAACACGCCAAAATACAAAGGTTCACTCATGCTGATGCCGGAGGCAATCGGACAAGTGGAAATGTTCAAAGCTTTTAATGCAAATTACTAATCCAAAACTGTTTTCGCAATCAACGCAAGGCAGCGGAAAAGGTCAAGAAATCATTGCAGAAAAACGCGCACACACACACACACACACACACACACACACACACACACACACACACACACGCAAAAGAAACAATTGTTATGAATGACAGGAGCGGAGGCGTTACTTTGCTCCAATCTTGTGGAAAATAGATTTTCGCAGCACCATTAAGCTTTTATATATATTGCATAACGGCAAAGCACAGAAGGCAGTAAGGCAAATATGATTAGAGGTCACACTGCATCATCACAGAGGCTGTGGCCTGCCAGAGAAAAGCTGCTCTGGTCAATTATTTTTATGAATTGTTTCCACTCTTCTATTAAAAATTAAGCGTGCGTCACATTATATCGGGGGTAGCATGGTGGACGAGTGGTTAGCATGCCCACCTCACAGTGCAGAGGTGCAGGGTTCAATTCCGGTCTTACTGTGTGGATTTTGCATGTTCTCCCTGTGCCTGTGTGGGTTTTCCCCGGGTACTCCGGTTTCCTCCCACATTCCAGAAACATGCATAGCTCTTTGAGTGCGAATGGTTGTTTGTCTACGTGTGCCCTTCGATTGGCTGTCAAGCAGTTCAGAGTGTACCCCGCCTAGTGCCCGAAGAGAGCTGGGATAGGCTCCAGCACTCCCGTGACCCTCGTGAGGATAAGCGGATTAGAAAATGAATGGGTGGATGGGTGATTGTATTACTTAGGAATTGGAAGTGATAAGACTTCAGCTGCCATGACCTGCATTTTTATTGACTTTATTGTGATTCGTTTCACTGGGTTTTATAGAAACAGGAGTCAACGGCGATGAAACATGATGCCTCAGAGCCTATGGGGCTGCCCACAATATTTCACTTTTGTCCTCATTAAATTGGAGAAAATTCTCTGTCATTCAGTGTTGGACTGGATGAGATC